CACAGCCAGATAATGAAATTATTTTACAAATAATTTCCGTTATTGGCTGCTTCGCATCCAATAACTATATATTATTATTTATTCGTCTGCATCAATTGTGTGCATATGTGCTTTGTGAAAAAGGCTCATAAATATATACGAATCTCCTTTTTAATTAATCTTTCATTTTTTGTAATATGTTATGTAATCACATAGTTAGACCAAAAATACTCGTGCACAAATTCGTGCTAAAAATAATTTGGTTACACGATGTTGTATCCATATGACATCGTAAAAAATACGCTTGAAATTTGGATATTTGAATTCGGTATGTAATTGTTAATCTACGAAACAAGCAATCAGTGCATAATCCTTAACAAGCTTTTAAATATATATATATGTTACGAGTCAAATTATAGGTTGAGTTAAACTTGACCTGGGTCTAATTAATCAATTAAAAAACCCGGTCGACATCAACATAATTCCGGCCCGCACTAACCCTAAAATTCTGCTGTTAGTCATTTTGACCCGGGTCAAAAGAAAATTACTATATACTACCAGTGTAATCACTACCGGTTATAAGTTTTTGTTAACATTTAGGATTAGAATATATTTTAAAACCAAGACAAGGAATAGATGTAATATCCAGAATTTAAGGTTACACGGGGTTTTCTGAGGCTCTGAACAGTTTTATAGTTCCGTTTTTAGATATGGTAGTGACTATCGGTGGTAGTAAATAGCAAATCTCTATATATAATTATTAAAATAATTGATCTTTTCTAATAGCTATCTGCAAATCTCGTTGAGCAAATTGTAGTCCAATGATCTTTTCGGCTGAATTATCACACCATACGTACACACAATAACAATGAATCTTAATCTTAATAAACTTGTAAAATTTTTGTATATAATTTTATTAAAATTGCCATTGTTTGATATTACCGAGGTAATAGTGATGATGACGTAATAATAAAAGATAAAAGAATGTGAAAACAAGCGCATTTCATGAGAATGAATGCTTCGCGAAGGTGGTGCGTAACTTTCGTAATATAAACAAAGTGGCACGAATGCTTCTATTTCGCACTTAAAATAACATAACTTGTTCGGTCGAACTTATCAAATTTAGCATCGAATACAAAAGACTACTTTTGCCGAAATTTATGCACAATATGTATTAAGAAATCTTTCCAGAAATAAAATCTAAAAGTTGCTTTACAGTAAATCTGTTTAATCCTATGGTTAAATTTCTAACTGCCTCTATATTTCAACATTACATTCACAATATGCAATGATACATAAATACTCATGAAAATATTCTATTATATAGAAAATGTATAATGTAAACCTAATTGATAAAGGATTTGTGCTAACTATTATCACGTGACTGAGATCAACATCAAACTATGGCGCGTTCGGATGAACTAATAAATTTCATTCAATGCCCTGAAAATTTAAAATTATGAATTGATTACATACTGATTTACGGTACAGTATTACTGCATACATTCCATGGCACGATAATGCTGTATTGCAATTTCTACTTAAAAATCTACTTTCTCCTATTTTTGGGGTCGGCTAAAGCGGAGTTAATTCAATATATAATCTACATGCTGCATAAATTACATTCTTGATATCCACTAACCATAACTGCGTCAAAAAGGTAACCCTAAACTTCACTCCGCTTTAGCCGACCACCTATTTTTGCTATTTATTTTTTTTCGGTTATTTTTATCCTGTATCGCTCGATAGAGACCTTAATTTTCGGAATTATCTAATATACCCGACAGAAAAAAAAATCGCTTACCGAAAATGTGTACAAGGCTGGCGGTGCCGACAAAATTCTTAAATTCGTTAAGGTTAGGGTTAGGGTCAGGTTAGGATCCAGGGAGGAATAGTTTATACAGTAAAATTGTCCAACGAAAACTTTTTGTTAGAGAACGAAAGGTTGCTTCTTACGCTGATTTTTGAGCTATGGTCAATTTTTGGCAGAACGAACGTTTGTTTTGAATCTTCCTGATCGTGTTACGTTACACCTAATCTTAAAATCTGATTCGAGTTCAGGATTATACATAGCAACCGCATAAAAATTTGCGGTCTCGTGATGATATACGCTAACATCTCATTGGTCAAACAAACCGCAGATCGTCAACGCGTTTTTCGATCAAAGAATTAACTTTTGACGTTAGGATAAGGGTGAGCACTAAGATAGTAGTAGAAAAGGCGGGGCATATAGCAAAATTTTGCAAGGAATTTTTTTTGCTAAGACGCAGGAAGTAGTTTTGTAGTTGAAATTTTGAGTTATGGACGGTTTTTTAAAAAAAGCCGGCAGTTTGTTTTGTTTTCACGTTACACCTGATCCTGTGTCGTGATTGGTTTAAAATCACGTGCCCGCGGACGGTTGCTATGTATAATAGTTCAGGAGAGCTGCGCCGCCACCTTGTACACATTTTCGGTAGCAAAAAAAATCTGACCAAGCGACCCAAATTTCAGATTCCATGTAATGCAAAACGAAAGATAAATTTTGTGATGCCTAGTGTTTAGCACAAGAACGAAATTGATGTAAAAAAAGCTTCAATTGTACAAATTTAAGTGCCACAGTTTATGTTTTCCAATTAGACATTTAATTCCTTTATAATGTCACTATAAATAATTAATTTAAAAAATTCAAGAACCCCATACTTAAAGCTGTGTTTTTATACGGTTTCGTAAAACAGCTAAATAACGAACATATTTTGAACGATCGGTTATTCATGTAGTTGTAAAAAATTTTTATCAAAAATTTGAAACAAAAAATAGAAAGCTAATTAAGTATTCGAGAAAGTATCAGAAGCCATATTATAAATTTTTTAAATTTTTTTTCGTATATTCAAAATACTCAATAAACTGCATTAAATAGATTCGACATAGGTTTATTCACATCAATTTTTTAATCAATGGTTATATGAAAATGTCGTCTAACAAATATACATATTTATTTTAAAAATTAATTTCTCAATTCGTGTATAACAGATTTTTCAGCTCTTCAATAGCATTCTTAATTCGTATATCATTTTCTTTCTAATTTTTTTCAGCTTTAATAGCCTCTTCAATTCGTGTAAGAGAGGTAAGAGAGGTTCTAAACCTCTCCTCAATTTTTGCAAAAGAGTATTCAGTTGATCCTTTTAGTTCTTTAATTGAATATCTCAGCTCTCTAATAGCACCCTCAATTTGGCTAATATAGGGCTGTTCTTCAGGGAGTTGAAGAACATCTTTAAGATTCTTTGAAATATAAGGCATTATGTATCCTGACCAATTAATTATTAGATCACGAAGTTTATCAGTGTGGCATTCATAAAAACTGTAATATAAAAATATGTAAATAAAAGAAATAAAGTTTAGTTGCATGTAGTAAATTAACTTACATAACAAATGAGAACCAATTTACTTTTCTTCGTTGATGAGGTAACATATATAATAACTCAATTTCAT